CTAGTAAAAAAAAGCTGAATGTCAGACTACATTTTTGCTGAAGAAGTCCAGCTGGCAAGTAGCAAAGATTCTGAAGTTCCACAGAAGGTGCCCATGTGACCATGGACCACACCTAGGTTAAAACTGTGACCTCAGTTTCTTGTCTGCTTGCCTAATATTTCAGGAGAAAAGGGATAGCAAGTAGGCAGTGCCTTTAGTCTTCACCCAGTCGTGTGGTTTATTATTAGGAAACAGCGGGTTGATTTATTTATCATTTGGCTCATTGGTTTAACTCAGACTGGTTATTGTCAGACCTAGTACTGACCACCATGCCCCAATATGTTTGCAGCTGTTTCATGGTGAATATTTCATATTTAGCTTACGAGGGTCAGAAAGAGATTGATTGACCATAAAGCAGCATTTGAAAGAGATGCCCCCTGGAATACTCAGCAAGGCAGTAATGCACAAAACGGCCCCAAAATAAGGGGGCGGGCGGGGGGAGTGGCAGCAGCATTTTGGCTGCCGGCCTCCGCAATTGGACCTGTCACGGAAGCTCACTGGAGTGAATTAATTCAATTAGCTGGCCAAAAACGAGTGACCCAGCCCTGCAGCACAGCTGACCTAGACCACAAGGAAGGCAGTGCAACATGCCACTGGCTCTGGTCCAGCGCAGTTTGAATCGTAGCTACAGTCCGCCCTTGTTAAGGGAAGCCAATCACAGTCCAGGTCACTTGTCATCACAGATGTACCAAATGCACTGTAATATGGGTTGGAAGCTGATTATGGCAATCTCTGCAGCTCACATTTCCAGGGAGATCTGGATTTATATCTAGGGTAAAGCGATATCCTGTTTTATGTACAGTGGGACCCTGTGAGTTCAGCTGATCTCCTTACACAGCTGCGATTAAACACTGGGCTCTCGTTAGCGTCTTCCACTTCTACACTGTCAGATTTCACAACTCAAAGTCAGCGACTATATAATACCATATAATTAAACTGGAAACAGATGAAGGAGTGTCTTTGGCTTGGAGGGGGTGAGTCGGCCATGAATTGCAGTTTCATTTTAGCGGCAAATAATAACTAAATATAAACAGTTAACAAATTAATTGCAGAACTCCCACTCTGTGGTTATTTCTGGAGCAGAACAGACAAATAAATTAACTGCGCCGAAATTCAGCCTCCGGAAAGGTGGAGTAAACGATGTAAGTGCCTGCACTGCCAAAACAAGTGATTAATGTGAGGTCAACACAATCTCAACGACCTTTAGAGCAAACAGTTCAACCCCCTTTGTGTAATAGCCCACATCCACTAGATGAAATTGATTACCTTTGGTACTCTATGGACAGAGACACATTCAGTCTGTTCTCAGTATCTCTCCACTTTTTCCCCACTTTGCTGTCTTCAGCTCTCAGTCTCGTGCCACTCGAAGGTTAGACACCCAGTTCCGTTCATCTCTCTTGACAGTGGGCTGCCATTTTTTCTCGAGTAACCGCAGAAGAGTTTGTTTTTCTCCACAAATGGTCTCCCAAGGGAAGCCAGGGGGGGAAAAAAATGGACAACCAAGTCCTCTGAGCAAAGATTCCAAGATCTTTCAGCAGAGCTTTAAGGTATAACACACTCTAATGGGCCTCAAGGGTAAGACGTCCAGGAGGGTTGACAGATCAGTCAGTGTTTCTTATTCAAAAGCTTCTCATCAGCACATGTATGTCATGGTTGGGCGGCTTTCCCAGCCGATGGACGTCTTAGGTCATCATAGAACACTTGCCATGATGCAGAGCTTACAAGTGCTTTTAGCTGTTTGACTTGAAATTTGAGCTGTTGAGCATGTAGGACGTGGATTCTGGACAGCCTAACCTTCATGCCTGAGGTGACCGGTCTAAACTAAGCGAGGTGCCCCCCAGAAAGTGCTGAACTTCTTCACTGCCCGTACCATTAGTATGATGTAATCTATCCTCGGTCCAGGGCAGATAAGCAGGAGACCCTACCCTCCCTTCAGGCGATCTGCTGTGCTTATCACTCCTGAAAGGTACATTTAAACCAGCTGAATGAAAAGCAGCCGGCTCCCCACTTGTTTCCATAAGGCGTGTCATCACTCTCACCACCAAGAATAAGGACCTAAGAAGGTGATGGCAAAATACCCTGACTGGGGACCTTATTGGGTTTTGAGGTCCACTGGAGTAGAATCATTAGGTCATGCAAGATCATTCGCCTAATTTACCAACCAGAAGCGAATGTGATGTAATGTTAAATGACCCCAAGACTGGCATCCCTCACAGCTGCAGCATCCTAACAAAAGTCCAAATGATTGAATGCGCAACTTGGGGAATCGTCTCTTCTAAGACATGCCATGAAAAGTCCAAAAGTCTAGTGCACCAGCTCCAGCAGATTGATGATTACTTATCACCCTTAATATGAGCCAGGAGACCCAGCAACCGCTCTCCAAGACGATGGTATGAACCCCATTGTGATCCTTCTGGGTCATGTGGTGGTATGTGACATGTTGGCATAGGACTGTTAAATGAGACAAACGCCAATGGCCTTTTCTCTCTCTGTCCACCTGCCTTGAGCAGTATTAATGGCAGCATATGCACCCACGTGTGAAGACAGTAAAAGTGATTGTTTTTAACAAGAAAAACCTCCATAAAACAGGGCTATTATCCGAATAACTCAAAACATGAAGAAATAAACAATGATTATGGGGTTGAAAAGGAAACTGGAACATCTTACATTATGAAGACAATGTTCGCCGTCTTAAAAGGCACCCCTCCAGCCAAAATGGCAGAACAGCATGTAGAGCGCCCCCTACTGTAAGGCTCTGAAACATCACACTCACATTCAAGTGTGAATCAGAGCCCCATGGACATTAATCACATTCCACAATCAACATGATAAAAAATGTAATTGCCTTTACAATAATTAAATATGATCCTTATTTACAACCCTTAGTGACACAAAGAAGGAAAACAGCACTGGGAATGGAGATTATAATTAGACCCAAGGTGAAGGATTGAAACTTTAAATCTTTACGCCAACACTTGCATTCAGCACCTTTTGATGCAGCCTTTTGATGTTTGTCTGCTGGTGTCCATGGCTAAGTGTATAATATCTCATTTTGAAGGTCCAAATGTGAAAACAGAGATGTCAGCACTATGTCATGCTTTTTGGGGTCTGTGGTGCCGGATAGCCAATGGCGGGTCATTGTCCTGTTTTATGTTCTTACAAAGGCAATCAGCTCAAGACGGGTATGATATGGATGCAGGGGGAAGTTCACTGCTTTGTGTGCTGCTTTTGGACATCAAAGTTTACAGGGCGGACTTCATCAAATGTCTCTAGGAGCTACAGCGAGACGCATTCCACGTCTTTGGACGTCTGCTTCTCCCGCTAAACGCTGCTCCCTTCGGCGTTTTCCTCCATTCACCCCAATATTTGTCATATCAGTATTTGATTTAAACATTTCTCTTCCTGTTCACTGACAGTTTCATCCGAGTGAGGGAGGAAGGCAGAGGCTCCAAACACTCACGTTTAGGGTGACATCTGGACAAAGGGCACTGCAGGGTCTATATCTATGTATTTTGTTAGCACGTGTATCAAACGCTAATGAAATCCAGCTGTCACCGGTTTAAATCTGGTTCTACACGCTGTTGATACACTGAAACACTTAAGGTGATAAATTTGCTTGCAAACCCACTTTATTGAGTAAATATGTGGGCTGAAGTATTAGCATAGCGTACTTTTAGATCTTTCATTGACGCTATTCCACTATGAGGCGATAAACATGAGAACATCTTGACGATGTTAGAAGTAATATGACTATTCCATCCCTTCCAAATGAAGCTGACAGGGTTTTAAGAATGGTTCATGTTTGTACTTCAGAAGTCCTAAACCCAAGGTCCCATTAACACCAGGAAAGGTTTTTGAAGCTGGGCAGGGGTGGGAGGTGGGGGGGTAAGACTGCCTGGTGCTGTGGCTGCTGCTCTCGCGGTGTTCAGCCATCCTTCAGGGAGCAAGTCGGTGCTCCATCATCTTTTGCCAGGGTGAATTAAGTTGACCGATGAGAAAGTCCGGCTTTGCCTGTTCAGGTAATGCTCTCTGACTGGTGTCGTCGATGTCCGCGGGGTTAACGACTCGCGGGAGCCATGCCAACATCCTGAGCCTTTCAATATTTAATCAGACCTGTGCCTGTCACCGCTCTACCTAACACAAGCTGGCCACCACATCCGGAGAGGCTGGATGACTTCCAGGGAGGGAGACAGAGAGAAGGACAGTGGAAGTTTGCCTTCCGGTCAGTTGCAGTGCCCTGCATCCTCATATCTGCAGCCATGCCTTAAACGTGAGGAATCCAGTATAAAAATACAAAGGACAGGATACTTATTAAAGGTAAATGTATTTATGGGAGTTTTTCATAACAATCAGACTCTGTGGAGAAAAACTCAATTTTAATATCACTCTTAGTCAGAAACAATGAGACCTTGCACGGCAGCTTGGGAAAAGCGGAACGGATTGGATGGATCCAAACTCACGCGGATTATTTCTTTCAGTCCAGTGGAGGAAACTTGAACAGATCCCAGATCTCTGCCACTGGGAATGAAAATGAAAGAGAAAAGGAATAATAGGGAATGAAAGCGATGACACGAGGAGTGAGAGGGCAGACAGCGTGTGTCCCATTGCCAACGTGTCCCCTGGTGGCCCCGGTGTCAGCAGAAATGTGCTATTGGTGTAAGCAGAGGAAGGGAGCACTGGGTGTAGTGGGGGAGTCTGGGGAAGTGGGTGAAATTGTAGCCGGATTAATAGAAGCTCAGGGAGTCGGTGTGGGGGGGTCCGATCTCCATGTTAAGCAGCAGGGACAGAGCCAGGAGGTGCCAGGAGCTGAAGGAATCCCAGGGGGCTGAACCCTCTCAGCTGTTGTGTTGCTTTACAGCTTCCTCTGTAGGTTGTTGTTTTTCTAATGCTTCTCCATGTCCATCATGCATGAGACGTAGCATCGCAGAGAGGGGTAAGGAAGGTGGTGTTTCTCCCCGCAGGTGCGGTGCGAGCCTCCAGCATCTTCCCCATCCTCAGCGTCATCCTCCTCTTCATGGGGGGTCTCTGCATAGCAGCCAGCGAGTTCTACAAGTCGCGGCACAACATCATCCTCAGCGCCGGCATCTTCTTCGTGTCAGCAGGTGGGGAAGGTGATCGCGGAGCCGGGGCTGGGACAAAAGGGATCGCGAAGGGAGGGAGGACGAGTGGAGGAACAAGGGAACGATCTGGGGAGGGAAGGGCAAGGTAGATGCAGTTGACGGGGGAGAAGCTGGTTTCCCCCACATTAATTATAAAGCTCTGGCCAGGTTGGTTGGCTATACATGTTCGTGAAAATGAAACCACAGGCCGCCGCGAGCGTTTTCCTGCGCGGTCGCATGGAGGAATTGCAGGACGCTCCGCGAATAGCAGCCGCGCAGCGGAGGCCGCGATAGGCCGCCTCCTGCGAGCGATCCGAAGCCGACCGTCTGTTCCTCTTTCTTCTCTGATCCAGTTGCCGGGCCGAGAGCGACCCACTGGGATTAAACTCTAAAAATATGGCGTCCCTGACATACTTCCCCAGCAAGCCGTCATGGTGGCTGCACACTTTCACAGGCTCCTGGTGCCCAGCTAAATGAAAGACACACGTGACATTATAAAATGTGACGCGGATCAGCTGGAACCCCTCTACATGTTAAAAAAAAGAAGCTTCTCAAAGATCCACCCATCTGTCTTCCTGGTCAGCGCCTTGGGGCCCTGAAGCCCACCCTAAGCTGCATAGGGCACGTGGCTGGGGTCCCCGCTTGACAGGATGCCAGGAAATTAATAGAGCTTGTCCTTCATTTTCGTTTTGACCAGAGTTACTTAATTTGTGGTCTCCCTGGTTGCTGTGCAATCACAAGCCCTGATTTAAGCATCTGGTACATTTGAAGCTTCCAGTGGAAACTTACAGCATCTGAAAGTCACCACTACCCAGGCAGAGACGTTTCGCTCTGGTTTCCCGCAGCCTGAGAGCCTCACTCCACAGTGAGGACATCCACCTGAAAAAAATCTAATAATGCTTATGGCATTGTTTCCTGTCCAATGATATTGTGGCTAACTGCCCTCCACCCCCTTCCCCTCCCCCGGCAGCCAATGGTTGTGGGTGTAATAGTGTAGCAATTTATGAAAATATGACTTAAATATGTAATTATGGGCTTGATCATTTAACTCAATGCCAAAAACTTTGTACAGGTTTAAACAAACAGATTTAAATATATACTTTAGGGCTTGTGTCTTTCAAGTCATATTTCCAGTATAACGTCAAACCCGGTTGAAGTATAAGCCTTTCGAATGAACGAACAGAAATACTTCCAATAGACCACAATCAGCAGGCCTAAATGAACATAAATGCTGCGTTTAAAATCACTTTAATTGGCTACAGAAATAAAATTTAAAAAAACCTCGCTGTGCCTCAGGAATGGGCGTGAAGCTCGGAGGCGGGTTTCCCCTCAGCTGCCCCCACGGGGGTAAACCCCCGCCGGCCATTCGGCGGTAACCGGTACCGGCTGCTCCGGCCGCTCTGGCCAGTCTCCCAGGAGCTCTTCTCCTGGGTCAGGCAGCCGTCAGGTAGTTGCCTAATTTCATCACAGACGACTGCTATCAATTATCTCACTAGCGGCTAAATCGCTCTCGGCAGCCCAGTTACTGTAACCTCGCCCTCGTTGCCGCTCTGTTGTCCCGTACGTGTGATAATATTAATATTTTCATTTAATATAGAGCCCGTATGTATCAGGCTTTTTGCTCTCAGCTACACAGAGCGTTACGATAGATAGATAGATAGATAGATAGATAGATAGCATCAGGATGTGATGTAATGAATAAGTGGAGCCCCTCCTCCTCACCCAGGCCTCAGCAACATCATCGGGATCATCGTGTACATATCAGCCAACGCGGGGGACCCCTCCCGGAGTGACTCCAAGAAGAACAGCTACTCGTACGGCTGGAGCTTCTACTTCGGAGCGCTGTCCTTCATCATGGCTGAGATGGTGGGCGTGCTGGCCGTGCACCTGTTCATCGACCGGCACAGACAGCTGCGGGTGGGAGCCGTCCACGCCCCAGACTACCTGCAGACCTCCGCCATCACGCGCATCCCCAGCTACCGCTACCGCTACCGGAACCGCTCGCGCTCCAGCTCCCGCTCCACGGACCCCTCGCAGTCCCGCGACGCCTCGCCCGTGGGCCTCAAGGGCTTCAGCGCGCTGCCGTCCACGGAGCTCTCCATGTACACGCTCACCCGGGATGCCCTCAAGCCCGCGACCACGCCCACCGCCACCTACAACTCCGACAGAGACCACAACTTTCTGCAGGTGCACAACTGCATCCAGAAGGACCTGAAAGACTCGTCCCTCAGCAATGCAGCCAACCGACGCACCACCCCTGTATGAGAGAGCCCTGGGCGGGGGGGGAGGGGGGTATAGACCAGCCCCAAGTGGTGAAAATGTGAATCTCCATGAAAACAAATCCCAAAATGTTTTTTAAGGATTTAAAATGCATGATGTTCCCCGTCTATTGTTACTTAAAAAATATTAAAAGGTTGGACTGGAATTATTCATAGCTGCTGCTGATTAAAGTGGGGGGTGTCTGTTTCGGAGCAGAGCTGGGGGACGAGAAGATCAGCTTGTAAATTTAATGAGAGCTTCTAGTTTTCCACCTCTCGGCTCAGTGTGGATGGGGCTGCAAGCTACCCCTCCCTCCTGCCCCCCCCACACACATCTCTTTTATTTAATGGCCTATTTACTGATTGAGTGATTTATTTTTTTGCATTAAAACTGTGAACCATAACAGCTTGGAACTCAAAAAGGAGTAACCTAATCTGTTATCTCTCTCTCTCTCTCTTTCTCTCTCTTTCTCTCTCTCACTCTCTCGTCGACTCTGGTAACGCAAAAAATAAATAAATTAAATAAAGAGATTGAAGGACACTGAATACAACTCCTGTCTGTGTTGAGGAAAGACTCCTCTGGGGAGAAGAGCAGGAGACAGAGACTCAGGCAGAGAATGTTATCCGAAATCGGTTCTTTTAGAAGAACATTCTGGTCTTTTCCTGCTGCCGGTACTCTTTCATTTTCGATCACTGCAGGACTGTGAGCCCGATCATGAACCCCTAATGCACGGCGAGCGGCAAGTGGAGGTTGACACAAAAAAAAGCTGGAATGACATCTGGAAAAGAGGAGAGGCGAGAAGGAAAAAAGGTAGCAGAAGTAGACGAGTGAAGAAAATGACGAGTGAGATACCAGGAGAAACGAGTGACTGATACATAAAGAAATTTACATGCATGCTAAGAATCTGCTCTTGAGAAATTAACTTTTAAGAGATATTGAGAATTATTAGGGGCAAAAAGCAACAATGCAAAATGTTACAACTGTGTGTCTCATTTTTGTTTCATTTGATTTCTAAATGTATGGTTTGGGTTGCCCAGATTAGTCGAACGAAACATAACACAAAGCCACCTTTTTGAAATATTTGCTTTACTTCATTGTGTTAATATAGATGTACTTTATTTTAAAATCTGACTTGGCTTTTTTTCAGTATGCTGTTTAAATGACAGGACTCTTTTTAAGGTGCCAAAACCGAATTACCCTATCCCCCTGACAAATAAATGTTAATACCCCGGGGGGGGGGAGGGGACCCACAGTCGCAGATCTCTGTGTGTCGTCATTATTCTGCTCGGCACTCTGATGTGCAGTGTGAAGCGCTGAGATGGTGATCTTCAGAAAACGGACCCACGCATCAGGCGATGAGGGAATGGGCCCTGCAGCTTCATGAAGGACACCTTCTTCTGCACCTGTATACCTCAGCAAATGTGTCTGCATTAATTAAGTGTAAAAGATGAAAGCACCCTAAGTCTCCTTAAATACGAGTCCTACAAAGAACTATGAATATGAGGCGTCTAACCTCTGGCAGTGGAGAACTGACAGCAGCTATCTAGTTACAGTCACTGTAAATGTTATCCAAAGGTCGATCCGTGAAACAGGTTTGCGCCTGATTGTCAGAAGAGTTCAGTGCTGAAACCTTTGGATATGCTCACTGTATACATTACTGTCAATATATGAAATCAAGTCCCTGTGCTGAGATAATACATTTAAATACACAATTGTTTTTTTTGGAAAAAAATGTTTCCTTAAAGCATCTCCTGTGTGTTTTCTCTGAGCTGTGCATTCAGTGTGGTTTTTATATGAGAAGTATGGCAGGTTGGATATACACCCATCTCATTCAGGAGATCCTTTGGTCATGAAGCCTTTCAGAAAGGTCAAAGACGGGAGAGCCGGCGCTAGGGGAGGTAAGAGCTGTCGCTTTGTGGCCGGATACCTGCACATTTCTTTGTCGCACAGCACAGCTTTTCTTTTCCAGATCTTCAGGAAATTGACTTGGATTTGCAGAAACAGGTGGAAAGTAAAAACGAAAGGTTCACAACAAGCAACCTCAAAGCCTCATGTTCGAAAGAGGTGGCATTTTCACACGCTAGAGTGCTGTTACATGTTCAAACGCGTGTGCATGTTTCCCAGCTATGCAGGGTGCATAGTCATTAATTTAACAGTGTGGAGTCTTTAATAGTCATTGTTTCGGTGGTTAAAATGGCATCCCGACTAGATCTTGCTGTGGAATATGTAGTGCCTCTGAAAAAAATGGGATTTAATCTCGACCTCGTCTTTTTTGTTTCCAGAATATCTCCCACTGGGTCTCACCAAGCTCTTTCATCTGGGGGCCATTTCTATGGGGAGCCAAGGAGTCGACACAGGACAATGGAGACATACATCAGGGACATGGGTGACATTCATTAGCTTTGTAAATGTGCTGATGTCGTTAACGAGGCGTCCCCGAGGCACAGCCACCCGAGAGCTCTGAGATGTAGCTCTCCTTCCATGCATCCTGCCCTGTAAAGATTAAGAACTATAATTTAATGGGTAAGTAAATTCAGAGTCGAGAAATCCGGAAACTCTGTGACATACATGTATCAGATGCCTGCCCACTGGCCCAAAACTCCCATCTCGCCGTTTCTCTGAGGACAGGTCCAATGTGGAGCTGATGCCAGAAATGTTTGGACACATAGAGGATACTGAGACGATGAGTATAGATCTGAGAAACCATACAGACGGCCAAGTCAACCTAAGACTCAAAGTCCACAATTAATATTGAAGATTTCATCAAGCTCCTGTGAAGAGCTCCTGAGCAACGCACATCATGGAGAAGTGTTAGCAGTGCGAACAGCGCCAGCAAGTGTCAGTGTGGTCACAACTTGTACAGAAAGTTAGTAACGGTTTAACTAATTCGGGGCTAGATAACCGATAGTATTTTTGTGTTTGTCTCTCTGGGCTGCTGCTCATTCCTGTTAAATGAGTCGTTTTCACACCATCTTAGCAAAACACTCGTCCTTAATTTGCCTTCCTGTCATACACGGTTCTCTCTCTCTCTCTCTCTCTCTCTTCTTCTGTGACTCTTCTGGGCCTGCAGTGCACCCGCCCCAATCCCGCCATCTCTCTTTCTCACGTTCCTACACTCTTGATCTCTCGTCCTCTCCTGTTTCCCCTCTCAATCCTTCCACTCATCCATTCCACCTCTCTCTCTTTTTGCCCAGGAGGTTCATCAGAGAGGCCGCTGAGGGGCAGGGCAGCACTGACATCACTGACATCCAATCGACGCCTTGACAGAGCGGACCCTAACCCTGACTGTTAGGGGCTAGCTGACAGGACACCGTCAGAGCTACAAATCACCATGCAGGATGTGGAGGGGAGGATCATGGAGGGGGGGGGGGGGGGGGGGGGGGG